CGAACTCGACTCGTACGTAACGCTCGTCGCATGCAGGAAATATTTTACTGTAAGGATTTTTTGAGCTATCGTTGACTGACGATTTGTGAATGTCGCCGATATGTATACGGTAGCATACATCCGAATGCTTAAAACACGGTCACGCAGAGGAAACAAAAAGATGTCGCGACTCTTTCTGCCAGATCACGTGATTATCCAGGTGATAGCTACTTTTGACGCTGTGTGACCCTGAGGAAGTGTCCTCTACTAGAGGACCTTTGGGAACCTAATCAGGAAAGGACAGCAGTCTACGCAGCCGTTTGCAAAGGGCTGTACATCTGTGCACGTGTCTTGAGACACTGAACTCGGAATCACATCCAAAGTTTGCATAACGATTCTCTGAACCAAGCTATGAAGGGTTTTCCAGCATTTTTTCTTACGGGCGCCGTCGAGGCCGGATTGGGTTAGAGCACTAATTGTAAGTTTTCTAAAAACCTGTAACTACGGGAAGCCTGGTCAGCTCAGGGCAAGTACCACAAGCATTTTGCATAAAACCTCATATTCACCTCCAGTATGGGAACTACTGTAACTGTTCAATATTCGTCTAAATAGAGGCTGGGGCGTGCCGAGGCGCACAGCGCCCGCTGCTATCATGTTTGCGCCAAATAAAAATGACGTTTGCGTTTAGAAGGTCAAACTTTCCGGGACGAAAATCTAAACAACTCCAAGATTATAGCCATTCGAAATATCATGCGTTAACAGAGGCCTTCTTTTTCCTAGAGCTGGCTGCTGATCGATGACCATTCGTGAAGTAAGTTGAGCCTTCTTGCCGTGTTTTTTTTCGGATTGACCAGCATCTGGCATATGTTTTGACTTTTACCCGATTTCCTTGGTGAATACAAGGTTTTTCTGAGAAGCAAGACCAGTCGATGGTAGGCGGGTCCAGGGATGTCGTGGCTATAATCCTTACACCCCACTTTTTCAAAATTAGCGCAAAATCTCAAATTTTGATAGAAAGTTATCCCTGAAGAAAGCCCGCTTCTTTAGCATAAATATCATACTCGCTTGCGGTGTACATTATGAGCAGCGGAACGCCCAGACACTCTTTTAAAGGCGGTTGGCTCGATAATTTGGTACTTGGCCCAAAATGCTAGCAGGGCCCCAGATAGTGGGGAAAATGGCGAAAAAACGAAGTAAAACGGCCAAAAATTTGCGAAGAAACGCCTTCGCTTCTCAATGACTCAATTTCGGTCGAGTTTGGATGTAGACATCATTGCCCTAAGATACGGGTACACGTATTTACTCATATATCCATGCAGCACCCCAGTCCTTTCATACCTATCCCTTCGCTTCATACTTTACTTAGCAAATGAAGCAATGCGAGCAACAGGTACGGTCGTCCATTTGTGGGCGGGCGGGCGCGGTGGGCGTTCGGGTCGGTAAGTTGTATGATAGAGGCTCTATAAGGGTACTTCCTTGGGAAAGGCGCTACGCAGCGCCTGCTCAGGGTCGCGGAATCCGTCCTGCCAGGGGTATTAATCCTACCCGTCTTAGGGATTTATGTGCCAACTGCCTTTAAGCTGCAGAACGCTCAAGCTTGCAAGTAGCTGCTTGCAAGCTTTCTTTTGGGCTTAGGTACATGGGAGCAGCGACGTAAAAGGCCATTTTGGCGGGCTCATCCCCACTACTATCGACTCCACGACCTGTTAATTATGGACCTACTCGCTAACTATTGTGTCTTAATGCTGCGCTAAATATTATCTTTTTCTTCCCTATGAGTGATATGATAAGGACGCCTCCTTGCGGTTGCATGTAGGACAGCGCCAAGGAAAAACCTTAATCACTTGGTTCGGGTAATTGTTTGGCAACTTCCGGAAGAAGATTTAAGTTCTGCGTCTCAAAATGCGTACAGTCGTTATCACTGAGGTCAGTCGGGGCGTGTCAGCGGCGCGTGAAGTTTGATGCAGTGGCGAAAACGATCGATGAATGGCTTCAGTGAAGCGACTGCACATCGGTGTATACTACACTGCACACGGCCCGGTGGACCTCTTGACCTTTCCTAAAGCGATGATAACGGAACAATTTTGCGAAAAATGCTATTTCTCATACCAGTTACGCAGTTTTGATAGCTTAATTGCTTGTTGGATGTGAAACTCTTTTCCCCTACTAAAATGACGAATGCAATTGTTGAAGAGCGAAAGAAAAAGAATCAGTAAAAATCACCTTGTAACGAAGTGCAAATTTTTACCTTTTCTGTTGTGCGCTCCTGGGGATTGTGTATAGTGTGAAATCGTAGGAATCGCATACCATGATGAGTCATTTGAAGGGACATAATTATCATTATATTAACCTGAAATATCCGGATGTCAAACGCGGAGGACTTTTTTTGAAAGGGGACTGTAAGAAGTTCAAAACTGTTGGCCTAGCATAGTTACAGGGAGGAGAGTATAAGCTCCTGTAAAGCTATGAACAGGGCACATCATTGGTTGGGGATTTTAGTCGACTCTATACGACCCCCCTTTTTTGGGAGTTGGTACGACCCCCCCCTCCCAAAAATGATCAAATACGACCCCCCCCTCCCTTTACAACGTCCATGAAGCGAGAAAAATCAACTATCA